CAAGCATTGTATGGGCTTTGCAAAAGTTCGAGTTTGAAATATGAACTTGACTCGAGTCGGAGGCGGGAACGTGCGTGCGCACGTTCATGCGAGCGTGTGTGATTTGCAGCACGTCCGAACAGCTGGCGAAACGGGCGAGCGCTTCGCCAATGCATAAAGTTGCACAACGAAGACACCCCACAATTCGTGCACACAATGGTAGCCACGTGTCCAGCATCGTGGCATGTTCGAGCACGATGTGGCAACGCGTCCCGCCCGTCTTGACGTCAGTCAAAGAAACTCCCGCCCTTGGCCAATCCACGTCCCCCGCACCAAATGTCTTTGAAATCCTGTGGGAGTGGAAGGCACTTGATACATTCAAATATACCACCCTTCTCCAACACTTGTGTACTGTATACGCAAATTCCATTCGACATGACAAACGGCAACACTAGCGCCCATGGCTCTGCCACACCGGCAGATGCTACCACTCCAACAGCCTCTACTCCCGCATCTGTCGCTGCACCGGTCCGCGCACCCGCACCTCAGCGGCGTCGGCGTACTGCTGTTGATCCGGCCGCTTCGTAGCGCCTTGGAGTTATCGACCTGGACGATATCGTGGCGCGTGTGCAGAACGGGAACACTCCTCTAGGTGCTGACGACGACACCCTCGCGTACTTCGACGGAGGCGAAATCGACTGCCATGGCGAAGACGGCGCCGACGACGACGCCGATGCAGCGACGCCCATCGACAAAAAAGGGTGGGAGCCGGCGGAAGTCATGCAGCTGGCGTGGATCCGCCACGACTTCGACGAGCAATATCAGAATCTGTGCCGCCTGCAAGGCCAGAACCGGGACGTCATGCTCTACGAGCAAGTCCGTCTTCGTCACCCCGGATGGCGCCATGGTCTCGCAGCCACGAAAGCCAAGGTTTTCTGTATGGAGGCTCAGTGGCGGAAGGTGTCGGATTTATTGCTAAAACCTTCCGGGAAAGGGGAAGCCCCCTAAAATGCCTATTTTCTATGACATATTCGACAGGTTCCTAGGGGATCGGGCGAATGCGCGTCCCCCGGCGCTCGCGGGCCCCTTGATTCCCGCAACTACTACCGCGCCTCCTCCTCCGGCTCGTACCATTCCTAGTAAGTGTTGATTGTTGTTTGATGTGATCCTTTTTTTTTACTGCTCATAATTTAAGATTGATGCTACTAATACAACCATTCAACAAGGTGGCATGTAATAATGAAACCACCCAACACCCCCATATGCGACGCCCATCACCGGCAGATGTGGCGTCTCCTACCACCGCATCAGCGGTGTCTGCAAGGCCCGATGGCGTAGCGGCATTAGCAAGCCGAGCGCAGTCGGCTCGTCGCTCACCCAATCCCCGTCGAGTGACGGCTTCGCCTGGTCACTCTCCTTCGCGCCAACCATTTTCGTCTCCGTCTACGTCTGCGCTTGCGCCGGACGTGTCCCCCGCCGCTGCCACCGCCACTGCATCTCCATCCCGTTCACACGTCGTCGGCGCGAACGCGGGTGTTGCGCTCCGTGGCCGCGGTGTCTCCCGCCGGCCTGGGCCTGCGGCTGCCGAAGAGGAACATTCGGGCAACGACACAATGGGAGGTGGTGTTGGTAACCACATGAACTCAAGTGATTCAGTGGTGTGTGCTGAAATAGCGGGGATAATTGCGCAATCGGTAAAAGGGGCTATGCGGGACCAATTTGATGAGTTTTTAGAACGTACCCAAGAGATGGTTGAGAGAGCTCAGGATGCCCGAGCCTCCAGGAAGCGTAGAAGTACGCCGCCAGGCGAGATCGACGACGAGTCGGAGTAAAGCCTGCATCGCGCGACGAGAAATGCGGGGCCTCCGCAACGGGTCCTTCCAGCCACCAAGTGTTGCGCTCACGAGGTTCGTTCAGGCGGTGACGGAAACCGAGGATGAGGTCGATGTTGTGAAGCACGATGCAGGCGGATACGACCTGCGGGGCGCAGATGACGTCGCACTCGAGGCGCCCGTCCAGGATGCGCCATTTGGTCTTCAGCCTCCCGTTCACCTGCTCCACAATCATTCGAGTGCGGGACTGCTGGAGGTTCCAGACTCGCTGATGGTCGGGAAGTGCGATGCCGGGAAGGGCATGATAGTGTGTGTAGATGTAGGGCCTCAATCCATAGGCAGCGTCCGCTACTAGCGTGTAGTCCAATATCCCTCCTTCTTCAATTTTAGTTCTTGCAGGGCTGTTCATGAAAACCCGAGCGTCGTTGACGCTTCCGGGATATCCTACAAAAAAGTCCCAGATGAGACCCATGCTGTCGCAGATTAGTTGGCAAATAATAGAAAAGAAACCTTTCCTATTTCTGAAGTCTTCGCAATGTGGTCCCATGCCACGGCAGTGTATGTAGGTCCCGTCCATGGCGCCTACCACCCAGGTATTCCGGCTTGAAGGCGAAACTCTGTCTCGAACAACTGCAGCATGTCCATGTCTGGCCACACGACCCACTTGGGCAGGACTTCGTTGACGAAAAAAAACGAACCTCGCAAACAGCTTGTGGGCGTGGGAGAAAGAGTAGCCGAAGTGAAGCCCAATTTCGCGAAATGTGATACCATGCCCAAGCCTGCTAAGTCCCATGGCGACGAATACAAAGTTATGCACAGGATGCTTAAGTGTAGCGAAACGGCTGCGCTGATACTGGCGCACTAAGTACACGAAAATGCGTTTGTCAACCCGCAAATACTCATAGAAAGTGTACTCGGGCAGGGATGTTATCAGTCGAAACCAACGCACACGTGCGTCAAGGCGGTCGCCAAGCACGAACACCCGGGTCTGCCTGAGAGTGAAGGCCGAGACGAGCGTAGGGAGTGCCGTGCCAACAGCGTTGAGAACGGGAAGCATCACCATCTGCAAGTACCCTTGCCATACGATGCCGAGAAAGCGGACCAGCTGTAGGGTTGTCATGTTGGGCGAATGACGAGTATACAAGGTGTTGCCACGGGGGCTATTTGTACCCTGGTTACACACTCGGCGCGGAAGGTGAGTTGGAGCTCTAGGTCTTTGTAAACCGAGGCGCAAAATGTTGACGTGGCGCACTGTCAAGACTCTCGAACCGGGTAACCTATGATGTTGATGTGCGGCTCGGCTCGTTTTTGCAAGTTCGAATGTTGGGGTTCGACCTTGTATGTGTGTGTGATTTTTTACAGTGTGGTAAGCCCGATGTTCGAACTTCGATAGAAGGAAATTCGAACTTCTTTCATTGTAAGTTCGAAACTAAAATTCGCCCTAAAAACATAAACTTTTACAAATTTCAAAGACCTCACACGCCCTAAATCCAGTCAGTGTTTACCTCGTTTCCGGTCATCAGTCTTCTGTTTTTGCCCTTTAGCGAGATCTGTTACCTAATGTTTTTTTCCTTGCCCTTCCGTGAGCAGGAGCAGGAGCAACACCTGGAGTGGGCGGGGGAGGTAACGGAGCTCTCCCTCTACTGGGAAGTTTTGTCAATTTCAGCTGTATTTTCGTTTACGTTTTACTAAGTTCCTCTCTTGTGTTTTGTCTTTGTGCAGAAGGAGCTCCATGGGGAGCTGGCGGCGAGCAAGGGGATAAACTGAGTGGTCTCCCTTTTCCTAGTAAGTTCCGTCAATTTCAATTTCGTTCTTCCTTATCAAAACACTAACGTTCTCCCTTGGTTTTGGTTTGTGGCAGGAGTGTGAGCAGGCGGAGAGCGCGGAGAGGGAAGCCGCGCGCCTCGATGGAGCAAGGAGCTTGGAGCGGCAAGCTTGGAGCAACCAGCCGTGTAAGTGGGTCTGGGCCCTGGCCCCCTGGGTGGTTAGGTCTACGTTAGGAGCGTTAGTCAGAACGTTTAGGAGCGTTAGTCAGATCGTTAGGCTCGAATTAGGCCTAGCTAGGGGACGAGTTAGCCTTAGCTAGGCTCGGATCTGGTTGCGGTCTAGTCTAGACCTAAGCTCGAACTAGCTAGGACGTTAGGTTCGGACGGTCAGGTGTGGTTGGGCGTGGTTGGGTTTGGTTAGGGCTGTCTTTGATCTTCCCTCTCTTCCTTACGGTGGTCAACATGGCGGGAACTCGCTGCCCTGTATATAATCTTAACCGTTCCCCCTCCTTTCTGCCCTGTAAATAAGTCCCCTCCCTCCCAGACAGACCCCGAACGAATGGCCCTAGACCAAGTACCAAGAAAGACAAGAAGACTAAGAACCAAGAAAGACAAGCTGTGGATCCGCACTGCAGATGCGGTGGTTGACACTTAGGGGATCTTAGAAGTTATTTGTAATCACTTGTAGCTCTGTAATCAGATGTATAAGTATCTCTGTTCTTTACGACGAAGTGACTTTGCTTGGTAGACGAATACGTAAGGAAATGAAACGAAAACTAAACCTTTTCCTCTGGCTGTGGAGAAAACAAACCTTGGTGAAGTTCAGGCAGCCACACAAGCATTGTCTCCCGATTGTACGTTAGGGTGCATTTGTGGCCCGGGTCAGAATTCAGGTCAAAAGCCCTTACAAACGTTAGTCTCCAATTTGGCTCATCCGAACTCGGATTTGCCTCACAAACGAGCCACTTCGGGTCTTCCGAGCTTCCACTTCGGGTCTGACCTGAGTCTGACACAGGCTACGAATGGGCCCTTAGTCGCGGAAGTGACAATCAGCTTTAGGATCAACGTCAATGTTTGGCCGTCGTTCCACTGAACTCTTTACCGTTCTCTACCGTATTACGCTGACTACTACTGACGATTTCTTTTTGCGATCACAGGGCGATTGAGAAGGCTAAATACATCGACGGAAAACAAACTTGTCACTCATCCTGCTCACGATCACACGGGATTCTTCGTGGGACGGTTCTGTCTGTCTGCACCAATTTCCCTGTGCGAATTACCTCGCAGGTTGTGAGAATCGAGCCAGGGAGTGGTGGTGAGGTGACGAGAAGCCTCCCTCTGATGGTGCTGCTGTATATCATGGTCACTTACGAATTCCATTAGGCCTTTCGTTCATTTCCGGCGAACACCGCACCGCACCACCATGTCTCTCGCTGTTATCGTCGTCTCGCTCCTCTTGCTCCGCGGCGCATCGCAGCCGTCCGTCATGGCGCAGATGCCCGACGTCATGCCACGTGGGCAGATCGGCGGCGAGGCGGGTATCGAGCGAGCCATGTCTCTTTTCCGCGTGAGTTCTCGCTCCCTCGCTCGCTCCCGTCTGCACACAGCTCCTCGCGCCGCTCTCCGCGCTCCGCGCTACTCCGTCCTCGCGTCACGCTCTCTCGTCACCTCAACTCATCTCCTCACACCCTTCGTCTTGATCCCTCAGATATGGGAGGACGCGTACGGGCTGAAACCCGACGTCCACATGCCGCCCGCACGCTCCCATTCCCTTCCCCTCACGCTTCCATTCCCTTCGCACCCCGTCTTTTTTGATCCGTCAGATATGGGAGGAGGCCTATGGATTGAAACCCGACGTTCACTTGCCGCCCGCGAAAATCACCTTGCCGGCCATCGTGCCGCGCGCGCCGCACCTGGAGGACTGCGAGGCGCTGACGGCGGCGAGGAAGGAGTCGGAGCAACGCGGAGGGGACGGGGAGCCTCCCCTGTGGGCGCGGGCTGTGAATAACTGCTCGGAATGCAACCCCCAACCACCATGGGTACTATGGCTACTATGGCACCACATAGACTAGGGTGTAAGCGAGACAATGGTCTAGGGAAGGCAATTAGTAGATTTCCTCTCCAACTACTCATCACCATCCCCTGCCCACCCCCTCCCAACCCCCAGGTGTGCGTGTCCGATGCGGGCAATCTACCGCTGACGCGTGTGGTGCAGTGGGACCTGTGGTGGGAGCACCAGCTGTTTCCCCTGCCATTTTCTCTTCCATGTCTCTCCCCACCCCACCTCCCCTCGCGCCTGCCTTCCCCCCAACCAGGTGCGCAGGTCCGATGCGGACAATCTACCGCTGACGCGAGTGGCACAGCGGGACCTGTGGGAGCACCAGCTGCTTCCCCCGCCTCCTCCCAATCTCTCTCTCCCCACGGCTCTCCCCACCTCCCCTCGCGCCTGCCTTCCCCCCAACCAACCAGGTGCGCGGATCGGATGCAGACAATCTACCGCTGACGCGGGTGGTGCAGAGGGATCTGTGGGAGCACCAGCTGTTCCACGGCAGCTGCGATGGCAGGCGCCTGCTCGTCGTGCCGTGGCCCACCAAGACCCACCACGGCGTGGGGTCACAGGTGGGAGAGGGCGACTTTTAAGACGTCTCAAAAGTCGGAATCTGTGGAGGCACCAGCTCGCAGGTAGAAGAGGGCGGGGCTTACGGGAGGGACCGTGAGAGTCGGAAAGAAAGAGTGATTTTGGCTGCTAGGTGGGTATTGGGGGGCTTGCTAACGAGAGTCGGGGTGCTCGCAGGTAAGAGGGGCTCCCTCACTGGTCAGTGGGTTTCCTCCCTCCGTTTCTTGCACCCACCCACCCACCGGCACCACCAGATACACGTGATGAGCACGTTTCTGAGCCAGGCCTTTTTTGCCATCATTACCCCCATCGTTACCCCCATCATTACCCCCATCAATGCCCACCAGATACACGTGATGAGCACGTTTCTGAGCCTGGCCTTGATTCACAACCGCACACTCGTGCCCGCGCCTGGCTCGTACGACCGAGCATTCACTGAGACATGCAATTGTGAGCTCTACGTGTAGCTTGTTTGTACTAAGCCCGCCTGGATTTGTTGAGGCGCCTCAATATTCGTGCCCACACCGAGACATGCAATTGTGAGTGCCACGCCCAGCTTATCAAGACATACAATTGTGAGGTTGCAGGTACGCCCAGCTTATCAAGACATACAATTGTGAGGTTGCAGGTACGCCCAGCTTATCAAGACATACAATTGTGAGGTTGCAGGTACGCCCAGCTTATACTCAGCCTGCTTTTGTGCGCGCCGCCTGCGACCAGGTTGTTCTTGAGAATCCGCAGAAACCAACTTGTCTCAATTGTGAGCTCAACCACTTCCTTTTGAGACGTCTCAAAACACTTCTTCAATTGTGACCTCAACCACTTCCTTTTGAGACGTCTCAAAACACTTCTTCAATTGTGACCTCAACCACTTCCTTTTGAGACGTCTCAAAACACTTCTTCAATTGTGACCTCAACCACTTCCTTTTGAGACGTCTCAAAACACTTCTTCAATTGTGACCTCAACCACTTCCTTTTGAGACGTCTCAAAACACTTCTTCAATTGTGACCTCAACCACTTCCTTTTGAGACGTCTCAAAACACTTCTTCAATTGTGACCTCAACCACTTCCTTTTGAGACGTCTCAAAACACTTCTTCAATTGTGACCTCAACCACTTCCTTTTGAGACGTCTCAAAACACTTCTTCAATTGTGACCTCAACCACTTCCTTTTGAGACGTCTCAAAACACTTCTTCAATTGTGACCTCAACCACTTCCTTTTGAGACGTCTCAAAACACTTCTTCAATTGTGACCTCAACCACTTCCTTTTGAGACGTCTCAAAACACTTCTTCAATTGTGACCTCAACCACTTCCTTTTGAGACGTCTCAAAACACTTCTTCAATTGTGACCTCAACCACTTCCTTTTGAGACGTCTCAAAACACTTCTTCAATTGTGACCTCAACCACTTCCTTTTGAGACGTCTCAAAACACTTCTTCAATTGTGACCTCAACCACTTCCTTTTGAGACGTCTCAAAACACTTCTTCAATTGTGACCTCAACCACTTCCTTTTGAGACGTCTCAAAACACTTCTTCAATTGTGACCTCAACCACTTCCTTTTGAGACGTCTCAAAACACTTCTTCAATTGTGACCTCAACCACTTCCTTTTGAGACGTCTCAAAACACTTCTTCAATTGTGACCTCAACCACTTCCTTTTGAGACGTCTCAAAACACTTCTTCAATTGTGACCTCAACCACTTCCTTTTGAGACGTCTCAAAACACTTCTTCAATTGTGACCTCAACCACTTCCTTTTGAGACGTCTCAAAACACTTCTTCAATTGTGACCTCAACCACTTCCTTTTGAGACGTCTCAAAACACTTCTTCAATTGTGACCTCAACCACTTCCTTTTCCTACCATGCTCAACCGCCTCCATTTCTCACACCCACTCCCCATTTCCCACCCACCACCCCCATGCCCCCCTGCTCCCCCTCCCCCCTTCCTTTCCCCCAGCCACCAGCACGGGCGGGGCGTGGGGTTGCTACTTCTTCCCCATAGTGAATCCCGACTGTGAGCGCGTGGTATCGGATATGACAGCCAGCAGCACCATGCCCTCCGTGCTCCCCACCCACTCCCACTCCCCACTCCCCTTCCCCTTGTCTTTCCCAGCCACAAAGACAGGTGGGGCGTGGGGTTGCTACTTCTTCCCCATAGTGAATCCCGACTGTGAGCGCGTGGTCTCGGGTATGACAGCCAGCAGCACCATGCCCTCCGTGCTTCCCACCCACTCCCACTCCCCACTCCCCTTCCCCTTGTCTTTCCCAGCCACAAAGACAGGTGGGGCGTGGGGTTGCTACTTCTTCCCCATAGTGAATCCCGACTGTGAGCGCGTGGTCTCGGGTATGACAGCCAGCAGCACCATGCCCTCCGTGCTTCCCACCCACTCCCACTCCCCACTCCCCTTCCCCTTGTCTTTCCCAGCCACAAAGACAGGTGGGGCGTGGGGTTGCTACTTCTTCCCCATAGTGAATCCCGACTGTGAGCGCGTGGTCTCGGATATGACAGCCAGCAGCACCATGCCCCCTCTCTCCTCTGACAAAGTGGGCCACAATCGCCTCGCTGCCTCGGGCGACCTTGTGGTGCATCTCAACGCCAGCTGCGACAGCCAGATGAAGCTTGAGGCGCGTGCTGCTAAGTAAGTTGTAGGAGGATGGGGAAGGAAAGGAATAGATGATTTTTTATCGACTCACAAGGCTGCCTTGGCCGACCCTGTGGTGTATCTCAACGTCAGCTGCGACAGCCAGATGAAGTTTGAGGCGCGTGCTGCTAAGTAAGTTGTAGAGGGGGGAAAGGGGGGAGGAAGGGGAAGTGGGAAGGGGAATGGCTAACTTCTGAGTCGACCCAAAAGCTTGAAGCCCGTGCTGCCACGTGCGTGTGAGGGGGAAAGGGGTGAAGGGGCTGACCTTTGAGTCGACTCAAAAAGGAAAGGCAGGGCCACAATCGCCTGCCTGCCTAGACCGACCCTGTGGTTCATCTCAACGCCAGCTGCGACAGCCAGATGAAGCTTGAGGCGCGTGCGGCCACGTGCGTGTGAGGGGAAGGGGAAGGGGGGAAGGGGGGGAAGGGGAAAGGGGATGGGAAACGTTGAAGGGAAGGGGAACGGGACGGGGAAGGCACAGGGGGAAGGGGAAAGGGAGGAGGGGAGGGTGCAGGGAATGTGGGGTGGGCGCATGGCTCCTGAAGGTCGCCAGTGAGAGGGTTATGAGGCCTGGGCGGGCTGATGATTTAAGGTTGTGTTTTTGAGACGTCTCAAAAATACTCTTTTTACACGTGGCCAGTGAGAGGGTTATGAGGCCTGGGCGGGCTGATGATTTAAGGTTGTGGCGAGGTGAAGGGGGTGAGGAGGTGAAGGGGGTGAGGAGGTGAAGGGGGTGATGAGGTGAAGGGGGTGAGGAGGTGTGTGAGATGTGGAAGGGGTGAGAAGGTGTGAAGAGTGCAGGGAATGTGGGGTAAGGAGCGGGAGAGGGGTGAGATGGTTATGAGGCCTGGGCTGGCTAATGATTCAGGGTTGTGGGGAGGTGAAGGGAGTTAGGTGTGTGTGGGACCCACGTGTCAGGAGGGCATACATTCGCGTCCTCTCTTCCCTCGTACCTCGTCCCTTCACTCCCTCTTCCCGCTTCTCCCGCTCCTTACCTCTGCCACTCACTCTCCATGCTCCTATTTGCTTCCCAACCTCAAAGCCCCACCTAGCCCCCCACCCCACCCTCCACTGCCCCAGGCTATGGGGCGATGCGTACGCGAGGGCCCCGAATGTGGTGGATTACACTCATTCGGGGAGCAGCCGCACGTTGACACCCAACATCGATGGTGCGACTCTTGAGGCGCCTTAAAGGCCCCAACCCCGTCCCCCGCTCCCGCCCCCCACTTCCCCAGGCTATGGGGCGATGCGTTCGCGAGGGCCCCGAATGTGGTGGAGTATATGGGGGAGCAGCCGCCTGCTGAGACCAATCACCCCGTGGTGCGTTCGTGTGTGCGCTCGCTTTCTCATGGGAGTGGTTGTACAAATGAATCCGCATGGTACACAGTGACTTGCGAGTCGACTCAGTACTCACCCGAATGTGGTGGAGTATATGGGGGAGCAGCCGCCTGTTGGGACCAATCACCCCGTGGTGCGTGCAAATGCGCTCACTTGTGGGTTTGGTGTTTTGGGTCGACTCAAAACATGGGGGAGTAACCGCAAGCTGACGACAAACACCCGATGGTGCGTGCGTGTGTGTGCGCTTGCTTGCGTTTCTTGAGACGTCTCAAAACTCCCCCTACCCCTCACCTCTCGCCTACATCCCCCCTACCCCTCACCTCCTCTCTTGGCAGATGGTGAACTGGTGGCGACCCCAGTCGACCCCAGTCGACCCCAGTCGACCCCAGTCGACCCCAGTCCACCCCAGTCGACCCCAGTCGACCCCAGTCAACCCCAGTCACCTCCACTCCTCGTCTTACCCCTCCCCTGCATGCCCCCACACCTTGCAGGTGCACTGGTGGCGATCCCAGTTGGCGCGCTTCATAACGCGCTGGTTGGCGGTGACGCGCTGGTTGGCGGTGTGGCGCCCACACCGCGTCTCACCTCTCGCGCTACCCCCTCCCCTCCTCTCCCTCTCCCTCCCTCCCTTCCCTCCCGCTCTCCCTCCTCTCAATTCCTCCCCCTACCCCTCCCCTCCTCGCCTGGCTGTCAGGTGCACTGGTGGCGATCCCAGTCAACGCGCTTCATGCTGCGCTGGCCCTCACTTCACACGTGCCACGCCACCAACAAGGAGCGCCACACCGCCTACGGCCTCCACACCACGTCTCACTCCTCCCCCTACCCCTCCCCTCCTCGCCTATCAGGTGCACTGGTGGCGATCCCAGTCAACACGCTTCATGCTGCGCTGGCCCTCCCCTCACACGTGCCACCAAAGCAACAAGGAGCGCCACACCGCCTACGGCCTCCTCACCGCATCCCACCTCTCGCGCTACACCGAAACCCAGACCGAGATCCTCCGGGCCGTCGCAGGCAACACATCCGAGTCACCCGAATCCAAGAAACTTTCCGAGATTTCCGCGGGCCCTCCGGGACCCATTGAATCGCAAGTCTGGACCGTCCGGGGGTTCGCGGGGTGTAAAGGGACCTGCATGAGTGCTGCAGATGCCAAGGCGATAAAGGAGACGTACGCATCGTTGGGAGGGGAGCCGTTTGTGATGCGGCCGATTGTGAGTGTGCACGTGCGGCAGAGCGACAAAGGGACTGAGATGCGCCTGTCGCCGCTCGCCACGCACATGTTCTTCGTGCATCGGCTGCGCCGCCACGTGCCGGACCTGCGACACGTGTGGCTGAACACCGAGATGGAGGTGCGTTGTGAGTGGACTCCAAGGCTTGCACGTGCGGCAGAGTGACAAGGGCACAGTGATGCGCCTGTCGTCGCTCGCCACGCACATGTTCTTTGTGCACCGAGGTGTATTTTGAAGCGCCTCAAAATACACCTCAATGTCGCCGCTTGCCACACTCATGTTCTTTGTGCACCGGCTGCGGCGCCACGTGCTGGACCTGCGACACGTGTGGCTCAATACGGAAATGGAGGTGCGTGCGTGGGGCAATGGATGCTTTGAGAGGTGCGTGGAGATGTGTCTGTCGCCGCTCGCGACGCACATGTTCTTTGTGCACCGGCTGCGGCGCCACGTGCCGGACCTGCGATACGTGGGGCTCAATACAGAGATGGAGGTGTGTGGGGCAACGAATGCTTGCCTTGCCCATGCCTTCTACTCCTCCACCTCTTTATCGCTTGCCAATGGCGTTGCTTGTCTTCCCTAACTCACCACGATCCGCCTCTCTCCCTGCTTTTCCTCCAGCGTAAACCTTCCTTCCTTCCTTCCTTCTCTCCCACCACCCACCTCTCAGTCCGTGGTCAGGGAATCTGCCTTGTACCTCGAATGGAAGTTCCTCCACTCCTCCAACTCGCTTGTTTTTGAGTCGACTGACAGGCCTTCCTTCCTTCCTTCCTTCTCTCCCACCCGCCCTACAGTCCGTGATTAGAGAATCAGCCTTGTACCTCGAATGGAAGTTCCTCTACTCCTCCAACTCGCGCCAGCCCGTGGACTCCAGGTCAAGCCGCAAGTATGAGATGTCTCAAAACTCTCAAACCATTCTTCCGTCCTTCCTTCTCTCCCACCCGCCATCCAGTCTGTGATTAAGGAATCAGCCTTGTACGCGGACTGGAAGTTCCTTTACTCATCCAACTCGCGCCAGCCCGTGGACTCCAGGTCGAGCCGAGAATACGAGCTCAAGCAGTCAGTCGCAGCGAGTTTCGCAAGCGTTATCATCGCGTCGCAGTGCGACTACTTTGTGGGTGCGCTCGGGTCTAACTGGAGCCGACTAATAAACGAACTGCGGTCAACGAACGGGAGGTTGCTCAGCGGATTTTATACAGTCAACATGGGGGACTGGTAGCTGCACTCTCTTCTACTGTTGCAGCCTTTTGAAGCACCTCAATCAAAAGCCGCTGTTATCGCATCTCAGTGCGACTACTTTGTGGGTGCGCTCGGGTCTAACTGGAGCAGATTGATTAACGAGCTGCGCTCGACGAATGGGAGGTTGCTCAGCGGCTTTTATACAGTCAACATGGGTGACTGGTATCCGCACCCTGATAACTACTTTGCAGCTGATAAGTCAATTTTTGAGTCGACTAAAAAATCTACTGTTGCAGCTGCACACCCGCTCGTGGCAACCATTCAGGAGGGGACATGGGCATGAGTGTGCACAGCCAGGAAAGGTAATTCAGGCCGTGTGACCACACGTAGTTCATGCACACCCTCCCTCTAGTGTGACTACGCATACTTCTTTTGAGGCGCCTCAAAAATCGCCTCAGGCCGTGTGACCACGCATAGTTCCTCGCACCGATACTATTTCAGACCATAGCTTACAACAGTCAAGGGTTTAGGGCCACTCATCGCGTTTCCGGCTTTCCCGTTTCCGTCTTTCGTGTTTCCTCCATTCCTCAATCCCTCTATTCCTGGCTTCCTTCCACCACGTCATCCTAGCCTTCCCCTTGCCTTCGTTCTTGCTTTCGCAACACGTCACTTGCCATTTCCTCCGAAAGTGCATGCTATCTAATGCTCGTTCTCCCTCCATAATTTCTTACTGTTCTATCATCCTCATCCCCTCCCTCTCGCCCTTCCTCATTTTCTCCCGTCCGCCCTTCCTCATCACCCGTTCCCTGTTCCTTATGTTACTCCTGTTCTCCCTTCCATCATTTCCTCCCGTTTATTGCAGCAGCAACACTCCCTACTGCCACACCATCAGCACAAGCCCAAGCAGGGAATGGTCACTCCCAGCAGCCACACATGTGGCATGGTGTCATGTGTATGTTTTTTGAGAAATCTCAAAAAACATACAAGGCACACATCTGGCAGGGTGTCATGCACTCTTGCTGCTTACGTAATATATGATTTGTGCAATACGATACTGTTAATCTAGTCATGCCATGCTTGCTAATTTAACATTCTGGTAAAGCTGGCAACACTCCCATAGGGCAAATGCTTGCTTGCTTCTGGGCACATAGCATGATATACGAGTCATGCACTCTTGATGCTAGGAACTTTGGTGTACTGCTGTCATAATTGCTATAGCAACACACCCTACCAGTCATCTTCAGCACGTTGCCAGCGGGGTCGCTGCCAGGTTTACATCTGGCATAGTGTAGGTAGGAGTCGTGCACTCTGCATGCTAGTGACTGACTGGGTTACTAGGAAGAGTTGTTGGGTGTGCGCTTGTCATATTCGCTGCAGCCACGCACACCCTACTATTCACTCCGTACAGTCACATCTTCAGTATGAGCCCCAGGGGGCAGTGGTCGCTGCCAGGCACATCTGGCATGGTGTATGAGTCGTGCTCTCTTGATGCTAGCGACTGCGACACAAGAAAGTAATCCAGGCGCCAACCTGGTGAGATGCCAAGGGTTGGGAAGAGAGGGGCGAACAAGGGAAATGAGATATCAGCATCTCATGGTGAATGAGTCGTGCACTCTTGATGCTAGCGACTGCGACACAAGAAATTAATCCAGGCGCCAACCTGGTGAGATGCCAAGGGTTGGGAAGAGAGGGGCGAACAAGGGAAATGAGAAATCAGCATAGTCGTGCACATTTGATGCTAGTAACTGGGACACCAGAAAGTAATCCAAACGCCATCCTGGTGAAAGGTGCAGAGGTAAGTGGGTTGGGGAATAGAGGGGCCAAAAAAAGAAATCACAAATCAGCGTCTCAAGGTGTATGTATGAGTCGTGCATAGTTGGTGCTAGCGACTGGGACACAAGAAAATAGTCTCGGTCACCATCCGGTTTTGAGTCGCCTCAAAAGTAGTCCAGGTCACTACCATCCAGTCAAAACGTATTTCCCGAACCAGTGTGCGTGCAAGCGAGTATGTAAGTGCATGAGAGCGTGGGTGTGAGCCTGAGTGAGAGAGTGTGACTGATTGCCACGTACCTCTGTTAGCAGGTCTTGCTTTCGACCGGTACCCCCAGTAGGTATACGCCACTGCATTGGGATGCTGACTGCGAAACGTATCCACCAAACCACGTTCCTTGCCTCTTCCCCCCTCATCTCCACCCTCCCCTTTCACCTCCTCTTCCCCCTTCTTCCCTCCACTTCCATTCTCACCCTTCTCTCCTCCCTCTCCTCCCTCTCCCCCTTTCCCCTCCTCTCCCCCCTCTTCCCCTTCCCAGGGCACGCCCAGCAGGTTAGCTGCAAACGACGCCCGCTCCTCATCGGTAAACCCCGAGCTCCTGCGGTTGCCCTCGGGGTGGAAAATGTCGATCTCCCCAAACGCACAGTTCAGGTCACCAGTCACAACCACCGGCTTCTGCTTCTCCAGTTCCTGGAATGGAGGGATTCGAAATCGTGAGGGGGAGACAGAGGAGAGGAGAGAGAGTGAGCTCCGTGGGTTGCCCTCAGGGTGGAAAGATGTCAATCTCCCCGAACGCACAGTTGAGGTCTCCGGTGACAATCACCGGCTTCTGGTGCTCCAGCTCCTGGAATGGCACATCACAACAGAGGGAGAAACATAGACGGAGTGAGGGAAGGGGCTGGTTGGAAGGGAGTGAATCCCGAGCTCCTCCAATTGCCCTCGGGGTGAAAGACGTCAATCTCCCCGAACGCACAGTTCAGGTCACCCGTCACAACCACTGGCTTCTGCTTCTCCAGTTCCTGTTGTTATGCCAGTCGACCATTCGAGGAAGAGAGGAGAGGGAGAGGGAGTGAGTGGATGGAGTGGTGGGAGGGCAGAGGAGAGGAGACCGAGCTTCTTCGGTTGCCCTCGAGGTGAAAGAGGTTTCTCTCCCCAAACGCACAGTTGAGATCACCCGCGACAATCACTGGGTTCTGCTCCTCCAGATTGGCGTTTGCGAATTCTCAGCTTGCTGTGACTTGATGTAACTTTGAAAATCCTTAACTTCGAGAATCCTCAGATTTCCTGAACCCCACCTTGACGTAGCCTTTGAGAATTCTCAGATGGCCTGAGGTGAACCTGCCTTGACGTAGCTGCCAAACGCGACGTCCCATTCCTTGGTGCGGTAGTCCTGCAGATGAATGCACACCAATGGCTCTCTGGGAAATGCACTAACCTTACCCCTCCCACGGATGCACTAACTATGTATGTACCTTGACGTAGCTGCCGAATGTGACGTCCCATTCCTTGGTGCGGTAGTCCTGCACACACGAGACAAGGCACAATGGGTGGAACACGCATTGGGGACCAGCAAAGGTACTTCTGGAAATCGTCCAAATTGACAGCCCTGCCAAATTCAGATCCTCCAGCTATGTCGCACTGCCACATGCGACTTTTGAGTCGACTCAAATGCCACATGCGCGTCGTCCCACTCCTTGGTGCGACAGTCCTGCAGAGACACGACGAGACAGAGTGGGAGGGACACGCATTGGGGAACCGTGAGTGCTTGGGTGAATGTAGAAAACGCGACGTCCTATGTCTTTGCGCGATAGCCGTGAGGACACAAGGTACAGCGGGACACTCATGTGAAGTGAGGGTGTTTTTGAGACGTCTCAAAAACACCCTCACTTCCCGTGAGGACACAAGGCACAGCGGGACGGACACTCATTGTGATGAGGCGATTTTTGAGTCGACTCAAAAATCGCCTCAAGGCACAGCGGGACAGTCATTGTGCGAACAGCAAAGCACATTGGGACGAGGATGGGACGAGGAAGCAAAGGGGAGAAAATAACAAGCTTGACTTGGTGTGACTAGCTTGACTCGCATTAACTCGTCTTGACCACCCACCAGCTGGACTAGCTTCTCAGATGAGTTGGGAGTGTAGCAACAGACGAGGAAGAATGGGGCTAGTTAGCTTAACTGGCCTTGACTAGCATTGACTAGCGTTGACTTGCATTGACTTCCCTTGGCTACCCACCAGTCTGACAAGCTTCTCAGAAGAGTTGGGAGTGTAGCAGCAGACGAGGAAGAAGGGGGCGAATCCTAATAGCTTGATTAGCCTTGACTGACGTTGACTTGCATTGACTTCCCTTGGCTACCCACCAGTCTGACTAGCTTCTCGGACGAGTTGGGGGTGTAGCAGCAGACGAGGAAGAAGGGGGCGAATTCCACAGTCACCACGCGCCCCTCCTTGTCGTGCTCTGGCTTGTTGATGCCATAGCGCACTGAGAGAGGAGGCACCTGAAAAGTGGGGGAGATTGGCACATGTACAAAACGATTGATTCGACCGTGACAAGACTCAACAGTCACCACCCGCCCCTCCTTGTCGTGCTCTGGCTTGCCAATGCCGTAGCGCACTGAGAGGGGGGACACCTGAACAGGAGATGGGAGAGAGCGGCACATATGAGATAGTAGTCAGTTACCATTGTCAGTAAATTCCACCCTCACCACCCGCCCCTCCTTGTCGTGCTCTGGCCTGTCCATGCCGTAGCGCACTGAGAGAGGAGGCACCTGAAAGGGAAAGACAGTGAAATCAACAGTGACTGTCTTATATCCCACCGTCACCACGCGCCCCTCCTTGTCGTGCTCTGGCTTGTCCATGCCGTAGCGCACTGAGAGAGGGCGCACCTGAAAAAGAGGGAGTGAAGCACATATGTAGAACAATTCACTCAACAGTGGGTGGCACTAACTCAACCGTCACCATGCGCCCCTCCATGTCGTGCTCTGGCCTGTCGTGCGAGAATACCGCTTGCCTTAGACAGCACTGCCATGCTCTCCACTGCTGCAGCTCCAAAGGGAGTGCGGAAAGGAGGGAGATAAAGCGCCTTTGCAATCTCCCGGACGCCCGTCTGCCTGCCCTTCCATACAGCAACACACAAGTCCCACTGACTCGCCTTGGACAGCACTGCCGTGCCGGAGTATCCAAGCTTGGCCGTGCTGCAGCTCCAAAACGTGTGTGGAAACGTGTGTGCAAACGTGTGTGGAAACGTGTGTGGAAACGTGTGTGGAAACGTGTGTGGAAACGTGTGTGGAAACGTGTGTGGAAACGTGTGTGGAAACGTGTGTGGAAACGTGTGTGGAAACGTGTGTGGAAACGTGTGTGGAAACGTGTGTGGAAACGTGTGTGGAAACGTGTGTGAAAACGTGTGTGGAAACGTGTGTGCAAACGTGTGTGGAAACGTGTGTGCAAACGTGTGTGCAAACGTGTGTGGAAACGTGTGTGCAAACGTGTGTGGAAACGTGTGTGGAAACGTGTGTGGAAACGTGTGTGCAAACGTGTGTGCAAACGTGTGTGGAAACGTGTGTGGAAACGTGTGTGGAAACGTGTGTGGAAACGTGTGTGGAAACGTGTGTGGAAACGTGTGTGGAAACGTGTGTGCAAACGTGTGTGGAAACGTGTGTGGAAACGTGTGTGGAAACGTGTGTGGAAACGTGGGAGACAGAGCCTTCTGAACCTTCCCCTCGTCCTTCTCCTGCAGCTTCGACTCCTGCCGTCTGCCTGCCCTTCCATACAGCAACACACAAGTTCCACCCACTCACCTTAGACAGCACTGCCGTGCCAGAATATCCCAGCTTAGCCGTGCTGCAGCTCCAGAACGAGTGCGGGAAGGATGGAGACAGAGCCTTCTGAACCTCCCCCACGCCCTTAGACAGAAGGAGAGCAAATAAGGTACCACTCACCTTAGACAGAACAGCTGTGCCAGAATATCCGAGCTTGGCCGTGCTGCAGCTCCAGAACGAGTGCGGGAAGGAAGGAGACAGAGCCTTCTGAATCTCCCCCACGTCTTTCTCCTGCAGCTTCGTCTCCTGCAGGCACACCACGTCAGCACGCTCCCTCTCGGCCAATCGACACAGCACGGTCGCCTCAGCCGCCACGTCAGCAGACACGTCAGCCGCCACGTCAGCAGCCATGGTCACCTCCTGATCCTGCGACTCGCCAGCTGGATCCTGCGATTCCCCCTCCTCCCCTCCGCCCGCCTTCCCCTTTGCTGCTCCCCTTCCCCCTTTCTTCTTCCCCTTCCCCTTCTCTGTACTCTTCCCCCCACTCCCCTCCCCTTCCCCCTCCCCCTCTCCACCTTTAAGCAACGCTCTCAACCCATTCACATTCCAAGACACAAGGCGCCATACCTTCTTTTCTCCTCCTCCCTTCTCCCCTCCCTCCTCCCCTCCCGCCCCTGCCAGCTCACTCCCCCCCCCATCCACGTCAGCTTTCCTCATCGTCTTGGGATCATACGGGAACCAATCAGGTTGCAGCTTTCGGTGAACCAGAACCTTCCAAGGCTCCTGACTAGCTTCGGCATCTGCCTCCATTCGTTTAGCAATCTCCATCTGCTCTTTTTTCGTCAGCTGCCCGGGTTTTTTCTTCCCGGATTTTTGCGGCCCGGCCTTACCCCGGCCTTTTTTCACCTGGCCTTCGGGAACGGTTTCTTTTCCCTCCCTGCCCTCCTCTTTTTCTTCCTGTGACTCCAACGGCTGTGATTCTGGTTGCGACTCTGGCTCTTGTGACTCCACGTGTCCTGATTCTACTGGCTTGATCCCCTTAGCCTGCTGACCACGTGGGCCTGCGGGTCTTCCCCTCTTTCCCCCTTTCGTCTTCCCCTTCTCCTCTTCCTCCGCTTCCTCTTCTTCCTCCGCTTCCTCCTCCTCCTCCTCCTCTTCTTCTTCGCTCAGCTCTGCGGCTTTCCCTCTTTTCCCGTTTCCCCCTGCTACCGCTCCCCCTCTTCCCAGAGACCGCGCCCTTCCCCCCGTCCAACCTCCCCCAACCGCGCCCTTCCCCGCTTCCCCCTTCCCGCTCCCGCTGGGTACCTCTCTCGCGCGCTTGACCCCCGCGCGCTCTTTCCCCGCGCCTTCTCCCTGCGCTATTTTTCCGCCAGTCGCAGCGCCAATCTCGGCGTCGCCAGAACGAGCGGCCGCGGCGGAAGCTGCTGCTGCTGCCCGCGTGGAGCGGCGCAGAGCGGTGCTGTGCGGTGCCTCGGAGTTTGTACGCGGAGCGGCGGGTTTACGGTCGCCACCAGCCATTGTTGTAACAGTCCCTAATGATCGAGTCCTCGACACAGTCACAAATGCGGGGACTACTATTCTCGGAAGAACAACGGATATAGCACAACACGAATGGGCGTTTCTTATTAAACGCTTGCAGCGTACCACTAAGGGCGTGACGATCTGATTTCGCGATGATAGACTGCCAGTAACAGTGTCGGTGGCGAACTTTGGCGAAAAGGCGACGGGAGCCGTGGATGCTGTCCGGGCGACAAATCGGATGGCTGCGATGGCCGACGGAGTGCCTAAGGAGTTTCGGATAGTAACGAGCGGCACCATTCAGACGAGTGCAGGGCAGAGCAGAAAATAGGAGGCTACGTTTCTTGTACCTCTACTCAGGACAGGACGCGTCGGCAGGACACTGGCACGATGGTGAAAATAGCCCCTGCTGAAAAAAGTCTCGCTATTATTCAGCCCCTTATCATGACTCGGCGGATTGTAAACAAGGGGCTTATAATATCGAACAGTTCAAAATGTCGCAAATTCCGCAAGAGATTGTTCGCGAATCTGCTCCGATACAAAGTGCTCTTTTCCGAAGTTCAACAAAAGCTAAATATCACGAAGGCTCTGTAAGCTATTCTCTCAAATTCGAGGATTTGAATTTCTCTCAGTTTCCCGCCAAATTCGACAGCAACCTCGATATCTCCCCTCCCTCATTTCAGGATATCACCCCCCTCTTCAGTCATGATTCTTTCAATAGTCCTCGCTCACTCTAGGTTCAGCACTACGTTAGGCTTTCCGTAGGCTTCTGTTTGTGAGTGGTGCATTGACGAGCGTCAGCGTTCTGATTATATTTTTCACTGATAAGCGAAGCTAGCTTAGTTGATAAGCGAATACTCGACGCCAGCCTGCATAGGCGAGCAGATCAGCAACGGTCGTCTGAGAGAATCGGCCGCAGTGATGAAGCGGGGAAGAGAAGACGAAGAGAGTTCGCGACATGATGAAGATGACGGGAAGAATGGGGGGAGTGGTGGAGAAGGCGAGGAGAAGAAGGAAGCAAGAAGCAGGGGAGATGAGGGTGACGGTGGTGGGGAGCCCGCGGGGGACCATGTTAAGACGGCATCGTCTCAGGTTGGGGTAGAAAGGGGGAAACGGGAGAGTGGAACAAGCGACCAAGAGAAGGTTAGGGAAAAGGAGGAGGAGAGAGAGGAGGATGAGGATGAGGAGGACTGTGTTAAGATCGAAGAAGATAATGACGAGGATGTTAAGATAGAGGAGGAGAAGGAGGAGTGTATTGATCTTTTGGACGAAGAGGAGGATGATGGCGGTGACGATAACGAGGCGGCTGAAATCGAGGATGTTTCGGAGGAGGAAGGACCAAGGAAGGTGATGAAGCTGAGCGAAGCTGCGAGGAAATCGCGGAAGCGTGACGTGGCGGAACGGGCGGGGGGCGGGGAGGAGGGTGCAGAGGACGGGAAGGGGGAGGGACTGGCGAAGAAAAAAAGAAGGAAATTGGGGAACGGGAAAGTGGGTGATATGGAGAGGAGAGAAGGGGGGAAGGGCAGCGAGGTTCCAAAAGACGGGGGCGACGGGGGTATGCATGAGGGAGACGGGAACGAGGAAAGACAGGAGGAGAAGGAGCGGAGAGAGGAGAGCAGTGATGGTAGAGAACCGAGAAGAACCGAGAAGGATGGGAAGGGGGAACGTAATCAGGTAACGGTTAGTAGAGATGGTGAAGGGGGAGGTGGAGGAGGAGGAGATGAGGAGGGGGACGACGGAGCTAGGACGCGTGGGGAGCAGGGGGGGCAGGGGGAGCAAGGGGAGCAAGGGGAGCAAGGGGAGCAAGGGGAGAAGGGGGGAAATGGAGAGAAGGGGGACCAGGACGAGGGACGGGAGGGGGAGCAACGACAGGAAGAGAAGGAAGAGAAGGAGGAGATGGGAGAGAAAAAAGGGGAGCAGACGGGGGAGCAGAAGGGGGAACAGACGGGAAGCATGGTAACCCGCAAAAAAGACATATCATACGTTCTTATTGACTTAAAGCCACGAGAGCAGACTAAGAAGACAGGGGGGAGCAGGGATAGCAAGGGGGGAAGCGCGGGGGAGAACGGTGGGGGAGGGGGAAGCGGCGGTGCGGGAACGCCTGGGAAGGAGGAGGACGGGGGGAGTGACGAGCAGACGAAAAAAGTAGGGGCGGGTGGGGAGGCTGATGGGGCAGGTGAAAAAGCAGCTGTGGGGGGGGCAGCGCGGACGGCAGAAGGGGGGAAGAAGCGGAAAGGCCTCCCCCCACGCTCTAGGAAAACGGGCAAGAAGGGGGGAGGGAGAGGGGGGGCGCATGGGGGGGCCAAGGGGGGGCTGGCTGGTGCAGGGGCAGCTGGGGGAGGGCCTATAACGGGGATGGGGGACAAGAGGAAGGAGGCGGATCTGGTGAAGGTGGTACCTGCGCCCAAGGGGTTGGAGATCGAAGATGGGCCTGATAAGCCGGTTGTCTTATCACGAGTGTTCCGGGCGGCACAGATCCAGGTAAGCAGCAAAGGCAATCGTATGGTACTGTGAGAGCCACATTTTGCGTCTGGGGCGCACAGGGCACACCCGCATAGGCTGGGCCACGCAGCGAGCCAACAGGCGCTCACCCCTCGCCTTTCCCTCATTCTTGTTACTCTCCTGTTCCCCGCATCCCCGTTTCCATCATCCTCAGTTGAGTGAGGATCGATTATCGGCGACGAGTAGCAAGGGCTATCGCATGGTTCTAGCAACAAGGGGAGTGCTGGAAGGCGCGTGGTCACTCACTTCCCCACACTCCCCTCACTCCCTCCCTCCCCTCCTTCCCTTACTCCGTCTGCAGTTGAGTGAGGACCGATTATCAGCAACGAGCAGCAAGGGTTATCGCACGGTGCTAGCAACCAGAGGGGTAATGGAGGGCGCGTGGTATTTCGAGATCCACATGCTGCATCTGGGGCAGTCAGGGCACGCCCGCATAGGCTGGGCCACACAGCGCGCCGACATGCAGACTCCAGTGGGGTTTGACACGTGGGGGTTTGGGTTCCGGGATGTGGATGGGAGCGTGGTGCATCAGGCAGTTAGGAGGGCGTATGCTGGAGGATCGCTGGATTTTCCTCCGCTGCCTCCTTCCAGTGCTACTGTCACTGCTGCTGCTTCTGCTGCGGCTGCTGCTACTGCTGCTGCTGCTACTGCTGCTGCCGCCACTGCTGCTGCGCCGGCTGCTGCTGCCGCTGCCGGTGGTGACATGGAAAATGCACCTGACAGGAAAGATCCACCTGAAAATGCATCTGCACACCCTGAAACCACTCACAACCGTTCCCAACCCCACCCTGCGGGAGACATAAGCAAGCGGGCGCCGGGGTACGTGGAGGGCGACGTGATTGGCTGCTACATCAGCCTGCCAGGTGGCGCCAGGCTGGCACCCAAGCCGCGGCCACTGGTGACGTGGAAGGGGCAACCGTGCTACGTGGAGAGCGAGGAGAGTGCAAAAGGAGGGCCCCCTGTGCCTGGTAAGCATTGCTCTTTCTTATCAGCGCATGGTAAGTGAATGGTACGTGCGTGGAAGGGGCAACCGTGCTACGTGGAGAGCGAGGAGAGTGCAAAGGGAGGGCCTCCCGTGCCTGGTAAGCGATTTTCCCTTATCAGTGTGTTGGAAGTGTCAAATGCCGGGTAAACCTGCTTAAGCAAAGGGTTGCCTCCTTTCCATTCTCTCCTGTGTTGGTGACATGGAACGTGCAGCCGTGCTACTTGGAAAGCGAGTAAAGTGTTGTTGGGGCCCCTTCCTGTTTGAGGTTGATTTTGAGAATTCTCAAAATCAACCTCAAACAAAATTGGTGACATGGAAGGTGCAGCCGTGCTACTTGGAGAGCGAGTAAAGTGTTATTGGGGCCCCTTCCTTGCCTGGTGAGCGTTTCTTTGTTTTGTGGTGTGCGTTTCTACCTTCCATTCTTTATTGTGCCTTGGCATTGGCAGCCGTGCTGCAGTTCTCCCTTCCCGTTCTTCCCTTTTCTGTGCGTTTCTCAAGTCTAATTATTAAAGGGGCCTTAAACATTCTATGTGTTTCTGAAGCCGCGGCTGCTGATAAAGTTGATGGGGCACCCTTCTATTTCTTTAGTTTCTGCTATATTCTAGGCACCTTAAGAATTGTGTTTTTATTATTTCAACAACCACCCCTCCACAGGAAGTGAAATCGTGTTCTTTCGCAACGGGGTGAGTCTGGGCACGGCGTTTAAAGACATTCCAGCGGGCAGATACTTCCCGGCAGCTTCCCTCTTCACGCTGCCCGACCAATCAGAGGGTGCCACCGTGCGCTTCAACTTCGGGCCGAATTTCTCACACCTGCCCGCGGACTGGGGCAGCCGGCCTGTGCCTGGAGCTTTTTCGGGTGCCCCACACATTCCTGCTTCGGAATATGAAGCTGATCTTGGGGATGAGGGGGAGGGGAAGGAGAGCAAGGATGGGGAGGGTAAAGAATGGAAGGATGGGGAGGGGAAATATGTGGAGGGGAAGGAGGGTAGACAGGTAAAGGAGGAGGAGGAGGAGGAGGAGGAGGAGGAGGAGGAGGAGGAGGAGGAGGAGGAGGAGGAGGAGGAGGAGGAGGAGGAGGAGGAGGAGGAGGAGGAGGAGGAGGGTCGGAGCAAAGGGGGGGAAATCGTAAAGGATGAGAAAGAGGAGGATGAAGGTAAAGAGGGAGGAGAGACCAAGGATGGAAAGCTAGAGGGTGGAGAGGAGGGAGAGCGGAAGGAGGATGCGAGGAATTGTGAGATGGATGAGGAAGAGGGGAAGGAGGTGAAGAAAGAGAGGGAGGACATAGACAAGGAAATGAAAGGTGAGGAGGATGGTGTGGGTGATAAAGAGGGGAACGCCAACGAGAAGGGTGGGTTACAAGAGGACGAGAGGGAGGGAGAAGCGGGGAGTGCACATATTACTGAGGGGGGAGAAGCGGATGGAACTAGGAATGCGGATGGAGAGGGAGGTGAAAATAATTCGTGAAAGGAAAGGAGGGAGGGTAATTGGGATCAAGATTGGAGACCTAGGAACTAGAGATGCAAGGATAGAGGAGAGGAGAGTATGGTCGTTGTGTCAAGGTTCAAGCGGCGTTTTAAGACATTTGTGGGTGTGATGTGTCGGAGGAGTAGTTGGGGGATGCAGCAGTTTCAAGACGTTTGTTGGACTAATATATCATGTTTGAGGGTGTGTACTATCAGTTTATACATGGTTAGTTTCAAGTCGTGTTCTTCTGTGGTTTCTCAACTTCCAGCCGCTGTCAGTTTTGCGGATAAATTTTACCGATTTCTATTGGCTGGGAACCGTCGCCAGCACTGTCGGTGGATGATTTTTCACGTCGGTGGAAGGCGTGTGGATGGCACATGCGGCCCAAACAAGCCCACATTCAGCTAACACCAACATTTTCGACAAGCCCAAGCTTCGTAACCATCCGCGGAACAATCACCATCCCAAGCATCGCCTAATTCACCTTTGCCCCGATTGTAGCAGATTTACGTCATACCACTTCCATACATGATGCCAGGGTTGAGCCACTCCCAGTTGCCTTGTGAAGGGGGCGCTTGAGCTGTTCTTATATTTCGCATAAGTTTCGTCAATTCGCAGCTAGCAAAAAAGGATTCGTCAGGTGCTTATAAAATAATTGTAGCTTACTCGTTGACAATTTGACTTCGGTCTTTTCGTTACTATTGGTGCAGAACCACGCGACGTGCAGCTGGCTGGGGAAAAAAAACACGGGTGCAGAGTTTCCATCCGGTGCAGGGAAAATTCGCGTGCAGGGGGTGAGCATCATGTGTACCTAACCATAACTGAATGTATACATACCGTGTTGAAACGCATAGAAACCCGCTGAACCGTACAAATAGTTCTGCCTAAATTTATTTGAGGCGCTACTATTCCCGTCTTACCCCAGAAGCTAGAATTTGGTGAAAGCTTCGTCTGCTATTCCTCGCATCCGCAATACACGCTAGCCGTTGTTTGGCAGAATCGTCACCTCTTAGCTCGCAAAAGCATGGATACGTCGTCTGCCACGTGTCTTTGCTTTAGTTGCACCGCCACTTCGCGGTGCGCTCTTGGGATCTTGTCTTCGCCAATGAGTCGAGATTTTAGACTAGGGGCATTATATACAAGGCCAGATATTATCTCGCTGCGAGCGAGCCTGGGAGTTTCACTTGTGCATACTTCCTGCAAAAATGCTCTCCCATTTCGTGGGAGTCGCAGGCGTGAACTTCGGAAACACCCGGAAAGCGCAGGACAATTGCAATGAAATTCAGTCAACAGTTTTCCTTGGTGCATTTGTTCTTTGAGTAGATACTTTCCATGCGACGGTTTCATTTCTCTCCATGAAGCGGTACGTCGCCGCCTTTACTTCCCGATTATTTTCGCATCCGGCTCAGCTGTTCGTTTTCCCTTCAGAACGTCTAGGTCCCACCCAAGACTACTAAGTCTGCTCCTTACGCGCTAGTACTCCTATAGTCGACGTTCTTAACGGACAGAAGCTGGTTTGATTGCGGTTCCGGAATTTAATATTCATCCTTCGAGTTCAGGCTCCGGGGATGAAACTCACGTGATCCGTGATGGACGATCAGGATCTCTTGATGAGCGATCGGACGGACGGGGAGAGCAGCGCTGGTGGGATGAACGGCTCAGATTCGTCGCGTTTTGCGGGGATTCCACTGCAATATTCTTCCGTTAGCGCTCGCTCGGATTGGGAAATGCCCCAATTTGGAAGCAGCAGCAGTCTAAACCTGTCTGCCCTTCCTCCTTCCTGCAATGGCTCAGGGGAAATACCCCCTTTTAAAATCTCAGGTGAAATACCCCCGTTTGGTGACTCAGGATATCATTTTTCAGGGGAAATACCCCCATTTGACGAGGCAATGTTGGAGCCGTTCCAGCTTTCTGGGCAGATTCTTGCTGACGTGGCAGCGGCGTTTGACCACGCCAGGTCAACGTTTGCATGTGTGGAGCCCACGTGTCCCACAGATACCACCTTCACCTCTGCTGCTTCGGCCTTCCCTGCTGCTGCCGTCTCACCTGCTTCCGTCTCACCTGCTGCCGTCTCACCTGCTGCCGTCTCCCCCTCGCGTGAACGTCTGTCCGCCCTGCTACAGCCGGCCGCACCACCATCAGGTGCACCAGAGCAAGCGCATGCTACAGCCGACACACTGACTACCGCTACTGCTTCTGCTGCAGTTACAGCTGGCCTCGCCTTCAGCCTGTCCGCCCCGCTACAGCCGGCAGCAGCGCCATCAGGTGCACCAGAACGAGCATGTGCTACAGCCGCTAGTCTGAGCATTGCTGCTGCTTCTGCTGCAGCCGGCCCTACCTGTGCGACCAGTCACCCGGCCGCTCCGCACTCCTCCCAACCGCTTCATCTTGTGAAGAGGAATGCTGAGACGTCCCCGAACCTGCTTACTCCACCAGTTGCACCCATGGAAGGGAAACTATTCGCCCCTCTCCACCCATCTACACCTCTCCTCTCATCCGCACCCCTCCCCCCATCAACACCTCTTCGCCCATCAGCACCAGCAGCAGCAGTACTATCCGCGCCCAATAGCCCAGCCGCTCCGCACTCCTCCCAACCACTTCGTCTCGCACACACACCACCTGGCAGGTTGGGACAACCCTCTCCGCCCGACCCGTGCCGCCCAGCAGCGTTTCCTCTTCTGTGTCTGCCCCAGTGTGTCCCTGTACCTCCTCTTAGCTTTGCTCTTCCCACACCATCCCCCTGTGCCGAGCCCAAACCACCTGCCCGTGCTTTCCCCATACGATCTTCCCCACCAGCAAATCTGCCTGTAGCACCAACGGTAACCCCACCTGCCAGACTGGTTATAGCTGCAGCGCCAGTCACATCAGCCAGCCCGGCTGTAGCACCAACGCCAACCACATCAGCCAGCCCGGTTGTAGCCGCGACACCATCCCTGCCTTCAAAGCTGGCTATAGCAGCAGCGACAACCCCACCAGCCAGCCCGGTTGTAGCACCAACGCCAACCCCACTAACCAGCCCAGCTGTAGCAGCTACACCACTCGCTGCTGCCACTCCCTTAGAGGCCTGCGATAGCCGAGGCATGAGCAGCAGCAGCAGCGGCAGCCACAACAGCCACAGCAGCAGCAGCAGCAGGAGCAGCATCAGCAGCGGAAGCCGCAGCAAGAGGAGGAGGGAGGGGGGAAGCGGATCTTGTGATAATCCTACCTGCGAGGAACAACATCTCTCCATGCATTCAGGGAGAATGGTAACAGCACCGCCTCTCCAGGGTCTTGAGGGGTTTACCAGGGCTGTGAGGGAGGGGGTGGGCGGAGTGGCATCAACAGCACCACCTCTCCTGAGTCTTGAGGAGTTTACCAGGGCTGTTAGGGAACGGATTGCTATGGCGGGTGGGGGTGTGGGAGGTGGAAGGGTCGAAGGTGGGAGGGTGGGGGATGGGAGTGTGGAGGGTGGGAGTGTGAGAGGTGGGAGTGTGGGAGGGTGGAGTGTGGGGGATGGGAATGCAGGAGGAGGGAGTGTGGGAGGAAGGAGTGTGGGGGGAGGGAGTGTGGGAGGGGGGAGTGTGGGAGGAGGGAATGTGGGAGGCGTGACTACCGGTTGTGTGACTGTAATGCAGCCTGACGCTGTTGCTGCAGGCTGCGAGGTTTCTGTAGGTGGGAGGAAGGAACTGGAGGGGAGTGGGAGCAAGAGGACAGGCGTGAAAGGGATTGCGGTGAGGAGGAGACGCAATCGAATCAGATCTGAACGATCCCGCCGCAAGCGAGTGAGGTGAGTCGGGAAACAGGAATAAGTAAATTACAAATGCGAACCAACAAGACCAATATCTGGCCTCTTATGAAAGGTCTAAAAAGAAAGGGGGAAAAACAACAAAAATATGTTACTTGTTGACTTCATTCTCCTCTATTTTTCTCTCTCTATCAAACTCCTTTTTGGATTCTGACTTGCCTTTTCCGCTTTCCTTTCCTTCATCTCCAGTGATGCGGTGGAAACCCTTAGGTTGTTGGTCCCGGCTCCAGTGTCGGCTCCAACTGATATGGCATCCGTGCTAGAAGCCACAGCGGCATACATCCGAGAATTGCAGGTAAGCTGCGTCTGGGAGGGTGTGTGATGTCTTATTACTGTTTGTTTCTTTTGTTTGCTCGGTTTTGTTTTCGTTTGTTGTTTTTTTTGTTTTTGCTTTTGTTTGCTGGTTTGGTTTTTGTGTGGCTAAATCAACCCCCTGTTTTCCATATGACGCATGGGTTTGTTGGTACTATAGGCCCTCACAGACACTCTCCAAAGCATGGCCTTGGTCCAGAAGACAACCAGAGACCAATAATGCGCTCACGATGGCATCATGACTCAGGGCGTTTTCCTTCACTTCAGTACGGGCTGTCAAATGATGCCACACTTGATGGATTCAGAGCTTGACATCCATTTGTTGTACCGATTTGCAGGAACACGCCCTTGGTTTCCTTTTAATCGTTTTTCGTTTTGTTTCGTGTCCTTATACAAGAAAAAAATATGTTTGTTTTCCAGGCATGGGCGTTCTTTACTGCTACTACCAGTTGGTTTATACCTGGCAGACTTTACTATAATGGAAAGTGTTAGACATGATACACAAATCCGTCCTCAAACGGATCAAGTTTTTTTCAATCTTCGTCGTAACCAATGCCGAAGTTCTGCGACGCCTGCGACCCAAGCCCACGACAGACTCAGATCTAACCCACAGCACAGCAGCTCCGTCCTATTCGCGAAACTCAGTAACATTCTCGCCGATCTTGTTTGTGGCTTCGCACAAGCCCACTTCCACCGCAAACCGTCGCTTCTGGAAGCTGGCGAGTTTCGTCTGAGCTGGAGCCCGCTCAGCACACACTCACGCCGTGCTGCCACCACCAGCCAGCCAACGAACTATCTATTCCCTGAATCTCGGTTTTCGCTTTCCTGAATCTAGCTTTTCTGCTGATCTGAAATTCCCTAGGTCACTTGCAGTTTTCATCTTCTGTTTCTGTTCCTTTCTCAGATTGCTGTCCTGATCCCTAGACTCCTTGTACCCTGATCCCTTCTGCTGTTGTAGGCTCCGCAACTTCGGGGGTTGTACTTTAGACCATTTTTGTTTTTTATCAGTCGTTAAATAAATACCTACGCTGGCACCATGGTGTCCGATGGCTCTGGTCCTGCCGCTTCTGGCCCTGCAGCTACGGCCGACTGGGCTTTCGAGGTAAGCCGTAGGAGACGACTCGCTAGCGATCAGTGTCCGGGTCTCAATTCAAGGTCAACTAAGTACGCTCCTTAAGATCCGTGCTTGAATCCAGCTTTTTCAGCGACGATTCTGATCTTACCCTTCATGTGTCGTTAGTAAAGCTCCGGTGAGTGAGGTTCGACTTCTGATCCCGCTTGTTCTCTAGTATGGATCTAGTTTAGAGGATTTAATTTTAATGGTAATTTCCAGAGTTTTTCTCATTTCCAAGTCAGAAAGGCGTTTGCGTCGGATAACGACTTTCAAGGCGTTTCAAGCAGCGCCGTTTCCCCTCTCGCACCTCTCGCAGGTCGGCAAGGCGTTCGCGTCGCAGTACTATACCGTGATGCACACGCAACCGCACGACGTGCACAAGTTCTACGTCGACGAGAGCAAATTCACGCGCGCCGAGCGCCTCGGCATTCCCGGGGAAACCGTGACGACCATGCAGGTGCGTCTCGCCGTGACGGAATTTGTGGAACAGGTCACGAGATCTGTTCCTCACAAGCACTTGGGTTGGAGAAGCGTTAGTAGCAGCAAGGTAATGAGAGGACTGCATCAGTGTGAAGGTACAGGAAGGAATGCTCTAGTGTACCAACCATGAAGGAACTTGCGTTGTTGTTCTGAGAACGAGGACTTTATTTTCGGTAACTGGCAATGTGAAAAAACTGGTTACTCATATTCCTCACGCATGTGTGGGCGTGTGTGTATGGGTTTGCGGATCATATGCTTGTGTGGTTTTCATGATCTGCATGGCATGAACGGGTTGTGGTTTGGCTTGGGTGCTTTGTATGGCTTGTGTGGCCCGCATGTGGGTTTGCCTTTCCCGCACTTGCACATGGCGTGTTCAGGGTATCCACACCAAGGTGATGTCGCTGGATTCATGCGAAGTCAAGGCGGAAATCAAATCCGTGGACTGCCAGGAATCTCTCTCCGGCGGCGTTCTCGTGGTGGTAACCGGCGCGCACTGTTACAGCAGCAGCGAGCGACGCGGCTTCGTCCAGAGCTTCTTCCTCGCGCCGCAGCAGAACGGCTTCTACGTCCTTAACGACATCTTCCGGTTTCTAGAGGACGCGCCGCCGCCGCAGCCGCCCGCCGTAGTTAAACACGCCGTCGGCGGGGGTACTAAGTCGGCCGCGTCGGCCTCTGGATCAGCTGCAGCTGCTGCTGCGGGGGGTGCGTCTCAGGCAGGTTTGTTGAACGGGCACGCGGCGGATCAAGCAGCGGGATCCCGGGAGGTTACATCTGTGGATCATGCGGTGCGAGATGTAACGGTCGATGAGGCGTCCCAGGCGTCCGCGCCTGCCGCCGCGCCCAGCGCCGCAGCCGGCGGAGCCGAGGCTCCCCCGGCCGCGGACGACGGCGCTGCGGTGGAGGAGGTGCAGGTGATTCGGGAAGTGCCTGAGTCGGTCGTTTCCGTGGATCAGGGCCAAGGGCAGGGTCAAGGGGCGGGAGTGGGAGCCGCCGCAGCAGCGGCGGAAGGGGAGAAGGCGGAAGCGTCTGTTGCGCCTTCCGCCCCAGTTTCCGCGCCTGCTGTCCTTCCGAGTCCTGCGGGCGGGGAAGCGGCTGCGGGAGCCACACCTGCGTCAGCTGTAGCACCAGCTATAGCAGCTGCACCCGCAGCAGCAGCAGCAGCAGCAGCAGCAGCACCGCCTGCAGCAGCGGTAGCGCCTGTAGCAACTGTAGCTCCAGCGGCGGCGGCAGCACCAGCTGCAGCGGCGGCACCTGCTACTGCGTCTGCGTCAGATGAACCGGCCCCTAAGAAGTCTTACGCCTCTATTGTGAGTGATCATGCTGGTGTTGAAACATCAAAACTCCAGTACGTCTCTAACATGAGTGATCATGCTGGTTGGGTTTGTCACAGACCCCACATCACATTTCAGTTGCGCAATGCTAGACTCGCCGTGATTCGTGGAGTTATTCCCCGTCACAATAACTCCCATCCTCACTGGAAGCAAGCCTGTTATGAATTTGACAATGAGGGTGTTGCTAAACCCATTCTAACCCCCTTCCTCGTATCTCAACCTAGCCCACGTGCCAACCCGCCCAACCCGTACCTTTCTTGAGCCTCGCTTCCCCGCCCCACACACCCCTCCGCCATCCCACCCCACAGCTGCAAGCCATGCGCGCGCAATCCGCAGCTGCATCACCCGCGGGCGCCTCCGCGGGCGCAGCTTCCGCGCCTCTCTCCGCCACTCCCCCCGCAGCTGCGCCTCTGGGGGCGGTTGCGCCCAGGCAGCCGCCGCTTCTCCCTGCCGCAGCAGTTGGGGGTGCTGGGGCGTTTGGGGGGCAAGAGGCAGCACCTTCTGGGGCAGCAGCTGGGTTCTCTGCTGGTTTGCTTGCCCCTGCTCCTGGTTTCGCTGCTGCTGGTGGTGCTGCTGGGGCTGGAGAGGATACCAATGCTGCTGACGAAGGTAGGAACGATGATTATTGCGATGGCCATAGGGCAGGGCGGGGGAGGGTTCTTGCTTGCTGCAGGGGAGGGCCCTGCTGTGTTTGTGCGCATGACTGCCAAAGAGATGCCGAAGTTTTCTAGCAAAACACTGCATCCCCTGTGTGCCCCCCGTGTGCCCCACAGCTGCAGGGGAGGGCCGCGCTGTGTTTGTGCGCACCCGCCAGTGCACATGAATCAGTGCCAAAGAGATCGCAGAGCACTTGAAACTCAACCCATCCTTTCCTTCCTTCCCCTGCATGTGCCATGCGTGTGCCTCTGCTCCGTGTGCCCTTTGTTCCTCACAGCTGCAGGGAGGGCCGCGCTGTGTTTGTGCGCAACCTGCCAGTGCGCATCACTGCCAAGGAGATAGCAGAGCACTTCAACCAGTTCGGAGCAGTGAGAGCCGACCGCATCCAGATCCGGGGCAACAAGGTACAGGGTTGTTGCCTGATTGGGAAAAAAGGGGCACATTGGACATGGACAGGCAAGATCCTCTCAGGCCAGTTTTGAGACGTCTCAAAGCACGTCTCAAAATTTGTGACGTCTCAAAATCTGTGACGTCTCAAAACACGGTATGGGGTTGTTGCCTGATCGGGGAAAAGGTAAGATCCTCTCAGTGCCCCTTGGCTCTTGGACAGGCCATTCCAATCCAAACTGGCTCAAGTGCTCTGCAATCTCCTTGGCCTTGGCAGTTAAGGTTAAAATCCTCCTGTGCTGCCAATCTCTCTGTACCCTTTCTCCTTCAGGCCAACAACCCCGCTACAGTGTACGCGTTTGTGGAGTTTGAGGAAGCTGCAGCAGCACTAGCGGCAGTAGAGGTTAGCAAACGGGCTCTTGGGTTTGTGGCTGAAGAGGTGTTGGTTGATGGATCGTGTTCCGTGCCTCTAACGTCTATGTATAGACGACTCACAAAAAGGCTGTAGATGAGAGTGGAAGAGGCGTTTTGGGTTAAGGGCATCAGGCTTGAGCATATGATAGGGTGTTTGACTGTTATTGGGCGGTGTTTGTCGTGCGTACTTTCTGTTGAGGCTTTGTGCGCTGTGGATCCGCTCTCTGCTCTGCTTGCTTCTTTCCATTGAGGTCGTTTTTGAGGCGCCTCAAAAACGACCTCAATGTTGAGGCTTCGTGCGCTGTGGATCCGCTCTCTGCTCTGCTTGCTTCTGTCCATTTTTTGGTTGAAACTTCTTTGCTTAAACCCTTTACGGTGTGTGTTGTTTTGGAGATCTCAAGTCTTGAAGAGAGAACTTAACTGCTTAAACCGTCTTGTGTTTGCCCACGCACAGAAACAAACCATCATGGTGGGGAATTTCCAAGTTAAGATCGAGGAGAAGAAGGCGACTAGTACGGGCCGAGGTGAGCTTTCTGGGCTTTTAAGAAAAGGGGTGGAAGGTGGGGGGGGGGAGAGAAGGGATATCTAAATAAAAAGTTGGTGGGTCGTTTGGTTGTCCATGGTTAGAAACAAATGATCATGGTGGGAAATTGTGAAGAGTGGGGAGACTAAGGTGACACGCACGGGCCAAGGCGAGTTCTGGGATGCGGTGGCGGCGCTGTCGGTGGTGCTGCTGGTGCTGGTGGCACCAGTAGTGCTGTTGTTGGTGGTGTCGGTGCTGGCAACTCCAGGACTACTTCAGGAACCTAGAACTTTCATTTTCATTTCCTTCTTCTTTTCTCTCTCCCCCCCACCCCCCTCCCCCTCCCAGCTCATATCGTCGTACGGGAGGCGGTCGGGGCGGCTCGGATCGCCAATTCCGCGACGGCAGCAGCAACTTCACCGGTGCTGCTGCTGGTGGCGCTGGTGTTGGTGGTGCTGGCGTTGGTGGTTCTGCAGGTGCTTGCTGGTGCCGGTTGCCGTTGCTAGGTGGGATTGTTGGAGTTGTGAGCAACAGGGGCGGGCGTGGGGGGTCAGGGTTCGGTTCTCGCGGTCAGCAGCAGCAGGTGCAGGGGCAGGGACAATGGCAAGGGCAGGGACAGGCAATGCAGCAGGGACAGGGGTTGACTGGGCAGGCCATTCAGGGGCAAGGATTTCAGCAGAATCAGGGGTTACAGGGGATGCAGGGGTTTCAGCAGGGGCAAGGGGGAGGTGATGGGGTGAGTGGGGCCGGGCAGGGGGATGGTCGTCAAGCGGTGGTGGAAGGGGAGAAGAGGGGGACAGGGACGGACAGGAGGGAGTAGAGGAGGGGGGCAAGGAGGAGGGGTTTGCAGTGGTGGCTCCATCATAAGGGCTGCCTGGGTTGTCGTAAGTGACTGACTGCAGTGGCTGAAGTGGTGCATTTCATTGTCATGGGCTACATGCTAGGTCATTTCTTCATCATTGCATTTTCGTTGTCATCATTGCATTTCCATCGTCATCATTGCAGCTTGGGTTTGTGTGACATGGCATTGGTTTCACCTTCATTGGTTTCTATTGTCTGAAAGTCTGTAGGGGAAGTGTGGTAGAGAGAGGCCGTCAGCATGTTGATGACAAATATGGCTCACAGGTAATCGTGAGCTGGACTCTCGGTTCGTGTTGTGCTGCGTGTGTCATCGAGCTGGCCAGTGCATTGTCTTGCTGTGACAAATAGTGCAACAAGGATGACGTAGGGCATAAAGATTTGGGGATGTGACACATAGTGGCTCAATGTGACACTTTCCAACCGAGGACTGAAAGACTGTCCCGTCCTAGATTAGTGTCTAAGATGAATATTCATACAGTGTAGCTCCTGCTGGCAGCTGTGGCTCCCTTCGTATATTTGGAAAGAGAAACGGTCAAGCATTTGCTTCGCGAAGCGCAGAGATTCGCAACCAGCAGCTAACCAGAATGCGGCATTTGCAGCCTCTCGCGAGGCAAGCGGCTGGAGGCTTTCGTGACTCAGTAACAACATCAGAGGGTCGCACAACGACGAACGCCACCTTGAGTTCAAAACTCCACCGTCCAGTCTGGTATGATACGAGTCAGCTGAAAGGAGAGTCAGAGCAGGAGAAACTACTGTAGCCAGTCATGGATGGAGCGAGCGCGGGTTTCATCAAAAGCCACTTTCGTTCACCCAGCTGCTCCTTCTTTTCCTAGTCTTTGCCGACTGTTTTTGTGGTCTAAAGAATAGAGATGTCTCGCACACAGATCAAAGATTTATCTGACGAACTTCTAGTGAAGATCTTCTGGCAGAGCGATCAGCCAATTCGTTACCAACCTAACATTGACGCTGTGTGGACTTGCCTGTGGTACTAGGCCGAGATACCTCCATTCAAAACGCGAAACGCTGAGACCCAACGAGGGTCCTCTACCGGCCCTTCCTGTCTCCGCAAACCCCTCCTTTAGTCTGCTCATCGCTTCAGTCTGCCGTCGCTGGCGCCGTCCTCGCTCGGCGCTACGTCTCCACACTTGTTGTCAAAGGCAGCCTTAAAGACGACCTTTTAGTGTCCCGCGTGGAGATTATGACCGCTATCACTTGCTTCCCGAACCTAACTCATCTTGAAGTCAGCAATGTCTTCTTAGGAACGATAAACGACGAGTTCTTATATCACCTCGCCTCGTCATGTCCTAAGTTGAGAATTCTTGGCTTATCAGCGACTCGGAAGAACTGTACGCGGGTGGTGATAGGGAGGATGTTCAGCCTCTAGCTACATCTTCTCTGGATGCTTTATTTCGGCGGTGCACTCAACTGGAACAGCTTAATCTCTCCTGTGTCCATGACGAGACGGTCCTGCCAGCATCGTTTTTTCAACTAAGCCGTCTTCACACTCTTGCTATTTTCCAGAGTGACTCGTTATGTAGACGCCAGGAACTTGTGGAGTTATCTTCACTGACCGTTCTGGACATTTCCGTTACAGGAATGGCTTTTCAGGAGCTCGTCAACCTCACTGCCTTAAGTGGATTAACTAGCCTTTCACTTCCGGATGCATTCTGCTATCGTAACGATTCTACCGATTATTCGTTTTCCATCGCACAGTTTCCTTCCTGAAATCACTGAAATTCTTGGATAGCTGTCCTCGATTCGACCGACTGTTCCTTCCGGCTCGCCATGCACCACTCTCGAAGAGCTATGGATCACCAACTGTGGGGAACTCGAGCGTTTTCCTAACGACGTTGCCACGCTGTTGCCATCTCTTCGCATTCTAAGTCTGGATCAATACTCTATCCATGCGCAGCTGCCTGAAGAGCTTGAGCTTCTCTCCTTAACCCGTCTCGAACTTCTAAAGATTTCCAGCTGTAAAGGGTTATTCAGCCTGCCCGAAGACTTCGGATGCCTGACTGCCCTAAAGACATTGGTTCTGGAGCACCTTCCACTCGCGGATCTCCCTCAATCCCTGTGTCGTCTCTCGTCACTGGAAACGCTGTTTCTGATCCGTTGCCCGGAGATTCGCGAATTGCCGATGGGATTCTGCTGCCTGACAGCTGTCAAGACGCTGTGGCTCGTGGAGTTGCCTCAGATCATGCTTCCAGCGGGTATCGGAGGGTTCAAACAGCTGCAGACTTTTTACCTGAATGACAATCAGACGCAGCTGCTGCTTCCATCCTCTTTCACTCAACTCTCTTCCTTGACGCGGTTGGAGCTTATAGCTGCTCGCTTCTTAAACTTCCGGAGGACATTGAGAAGCTAAGCAGCTTACGAGAATTGTTCATAATTTCCTGCCAAATTGAGGAGCTTCCAGAGTCGCTTTCAGGCATTTCTGGCCTTGAAATTGTGGCCGTTGATTGCTGCGCAAGGCTACGAGCTGTACCATCCAGGCTGGATGCTTTCTCAAGGCTTGAATTGCTGAAGTTTGAGGAATGTGAGAACCTGACGGAATTGCCTGAATTCCTGCCACAATCTCTTGAGGAGCTCAACCTCGGGAACTCCAAAAACGTCACACCTCTGCCGAATTTCACCGTGCTGCCAAAGCTGAGGACGCTGAACCTGAAACTGGTTGAGGTTGCTTGGGCCGTGACAGCCAGCAAGGGCTTATCCCGTCTGGAGTATCTGTATCTGGAATCGTGTAATGCTAGGAAGCTTCCATTCCCATTGGTCTACCTTTCTCAGCTTCATACTTTGGCAATTGGGAGTGCCTTGAGGGTGGAGGCGCTCCCGAGTTTTGGGTCCTCGATGGTGCAGCTGCGGCAGCTGCGTATTCACGATGCCAATGAGCTGAAGGAGCTTCCAGCAAGCATTGTGGAGCTTCCGCGTTTAACGACTCTGGAGGTTCATGCTATGAAGCTGGTTTCTCTTCCCGAGAATTTGGGTGCTTTATCCAGGCTGCAAGAGCTGAACCTATCCAAATGCTCTGCCCTAGAGCATCTGCCTGCTTCTGTGACCCAGCTTGCCTTTCTTTGTCGCCTGGATGTTGAAGACAGCCTGATCCGCTCACTGCCGCCTGGGTTTGAGCGGTTGGCCAGGCTCCATTCACTGAACCTGAAGGACTGCAAGCAGCTGGAATCTCTGCCTGAGAATTTCACCAGGCTCAAGATGTTGCGGGACCGTTTTGTTGAGGGGTGCTCTAATTTAATTGATGCTGAGGGTTTTGTGCGTCCTTGTGGCGTACATTCGATGAAAGGGTTGAAAATTCTAATCCACCGGTACGGTAATGCATACATCTGCCTTACGCCTCCTGTTTGTTGATGCATCACCCTGTTGAAGCTATTTGTTGCAGCAATTCTTGTTTGTAAGAACTTGATTAGTGCACGTTTATCCTGCGCTTTATCGTGTCATTTATACAGGTTAAGTGCTACTTACGCCACCCGAACAATGACACCGAAAAACAGCGTTGCAATGCAATATCGAGAGAGATCCCTCATCAGTCAACTTTGCTGGGTCCTCCGATCTTCGTAGTGTAGCAGCACTGGGTGGGTCTGGCCTGGTAGATCTAGGATTTCTGCTACCAAGTCTACACACTTTGCCTAGAGAAGTCAGTGATGCAGCTAGCGTGCTTATTAACTCTAGGGCTCTCTCACATGTTTCTTTACTATGCC